ATAGAGCATGGGGAGCATGACTTCCCTAGATCTAGACACTATGCTCCTATTGAATATTGAATATTAAATACATTAATAATATTATAATTATATTTAAATAACATGTAATATTACTAATAATATTACAATATCTTGTATCTTGTACTTTACTAATAATATAATATATTGTATATACATATAATATTATAATGTAATATAATATAATACTAATAATAATACAATATTAGAATTATATTACTGTAATATTACTAATAATACTACAATATAATGGTGTAGCACAATATATAATACTGATATTGTACTATGCTAATAATTTAATATATTTTATGTATACATATCTTGTAAGCCTTTAAAAAGGACCTTAAAACCTGGCTGTTCAGCTGTTTTGATGAATAGGTTTACATTCTCACACTATTGCTTAGCCTCAATGTTTTGTCATTGGAGTATATGTCCCCACCCCCCTTTGTGGGAAAGCCTGATTCCACAACTCCCACTATAATGAGTCCTCCGCAAATAATCTGTCTCTTTCTTATCTCGCCTGAGTTTTAATTAGTTTTAATCATAGAATCATAGAATCATAGAATCCTAGAGTTGGCTTTTAATCATTACATGTAGCCCCCCCCATTGTCATTGTGATTGTGCCTATTGTAATTTTATATTGCTATATTTTCATATAATAATGAAATATTATAGTATAATAATAATGTTTTATGTAATTATGTTGTTTATTGTTTGCGTTTTTGGTTTTATTTTAATTTGTTGTTTGGGCTTGGCCTCATGTAAGCCGCTCCGAGTCCCCATTGGGGAGATGGTGGCGGGGTATAAATAAAGTTTATTATTATTATATTATTATTAAGCTGCTCCGAGTCCCCTTCTGGGTGAGAAGGGCAGCATATAAATGTCGTAAATAAATAAATAATCATAAGGATAGGCTCTCTCTTCTGTTGGGATTCATTGTCCAAAGTCGCTTTTAACAGCTTTGAACCCCTGCACTTGGTATTTATTTTTTCCCAAACAAAGACTTTCTGTATTTTCAGGCAGAAGCTGACACTTTGCCCCATTATTGATGGAGAGGAGCACCTCCGCCTCCTGAGCTTCCAACACAACTGCATCACTCGGATCCAGAACATTTCTAACCTGCAGCATCTTGTCTTCTTGGATTTGTATGATAACCAGATAGAGGAAATTAGCGGCCTTTCCACTTTAAGATTGCTCCGTGTCCTTTTGTTGGGAAATAACAGGTGAAAAGAAGCAAGGGAGCGGAGGGATGATTTATTGTTGCCACCAATTTGAAAGGAACCAGTATTCAGGAGATTTTACCCCAGTTCCCAATTTTAAAAGAACTGGCCGATTTGCAATGGAGGTTACCGATTAGGAACCAAATTTACCATCAAGTTGGAAGGGAGTCTGTTCAATTGCACCTCCTCCTTTATTAAGAAAGTAATAACTTAGTAGTGATTACACTGTATATACTGTAGCGTGACTGGAGAGAAGAATGTAGTCTTATTTGGTTACTTTTCCCTGCGTTTCTGCCACCACGTGAGGTAAGTTGTAATATTGTGAGAAATGGCACTTTGGACACAGAATAGACAGAGCTGAGGCAATCTTCAAATAAAAGTTAACAATTTTATTAAGTACACAGCGTGTGGTTGCAAGACGTAACTTTTCCTTGTTGCACTTGGAATAATACTTGTAACTTTAACAGTTCATTCTTTCAAGTAACACAGTATCTTTCTGACGTAGAGCACTTGTTTCAGACCAAGTTTCCATACAGGGATGTTTCCCTTAGTTGATCTTCTCTAGATCAAATACTAAGTATCCTATTCTTTAGCCTCTCCTTACACTAAAGAATACCAGCTATGTTTCATCATTCGGCTGCACTAGCCTGAGAAACTTCCAATAGCCAAACCCAGCTTTTCAAAGCCTCAAGTTTTACTTCACAAGTCACTCCGCCACCTTTCCTTTCCTTCTCTCCCAACTCCTAACTCCTCACTCCTCTGAACCTAACTCCTGACTGCTCACTCCTCTAAACCTAAACCCTAACTGATTTTTAACTGCCGTTTTTCAAACTCTCTCTTCTAAGCTCCTCCCACTTCCCTCTCTCACATGGAGGACTCCTCTGACTTAGGCCGCTCCAGCATTACTGCAGCCAATCTAAACACAAATACAGTTAAAATCATACAATTTATAATCAACTCCTGTACAACAGGTAATGTAGAAGGGGGGGGGGGCAATTGATATCAAAGCGGTGGTGTGCTCTTAGCATTTTTATTGGGTTCCCTGTGTGTCTTGAGTGAGATGTATTCCATTAGGTCCCTCTATATACTCTGCACTGATAGAGATGGAATATAATATTGTCCCATGCCAACGGCTCCATATTTATCTATCTGTATTAATTTGACAGGATGGGACGATGTATATATGTACTTTTAAAATGTCTGGGGCCCAAGATTGTCCGTGGTAGAACCTGAGCATGGATTCTTCCTTCCCATCCTTTTTCTTGCACCGGGATTGTGGCGCAGCTGGCTGAGTATCAGCTGCATTAAGATCACTCTGACCAAAAGGTCATGAGTTCAAAGGCAGCCCGGGTTGGAGTGGGCTTCCAACCAATTTTGTAGCCTGTTGTCAACCTTTGCAACCCGAAAGACAGTTGCATCTGTCAAGCAGAAAATTAGGTACCACCTTAAAGTGTGGGGAGGCTAAATTAACTAATTTATGAGGCCATAAAAAGGACTCCAGCAAAGCACTCCAGCAAAAAGCATGCGGGGAATGCGGAAGTGCTTCATCAGCATCGCAGATGGACGATGAAAGCGACACCTCCCCTGGCGGCCAGAAAAAGTTAAATAGCCTCTGTGTATGTCTGTATACGTTGTATGTCAAAATTGGCATTGAATGTTTGCCAGATATGTACATTGTAATCCGCCCTGAGTCCCCTGCGGGGTGAGAAGGGCGGAATAGAAAAGCTGTAAATAAATAAATAATAAATAAATTACTGAAAATACTTTTGTGCTTGAATATTTCAGAATAAGGAGAATATCAAACTTGGATAATCTGGTCAGCCTTGATGTCTTGGACCTCCATGGAAATCAGGTAAAACTTGATTAGTACTTCAAAACACCAACCTTTCAGTCAGCAAGTTCAGCAGCTCAGCGGTTTAACCCGCCCCCGGTGGTGCAGTGGTTTAAACCCCTGTGCCGGCAGGACTGAAGACCGACAGGTCACAGGTTCGAATCTGGGGAGAGGTGGATGAGCTTCCTCTGTCAGCTCCAGCTCCCCAAGCGGGGACATGAGAGAAGCCTCCCACAAGGATGACAAAAACATCAAATCATCTGGGCGTCCCCTGGGCAACGTCCTTGCAAACAGGCAATTCTCTCACACCAGAAGCGACTTGCAGTTTCTCAAGTCGCTCCTGACACGACATTAAGATCAAAAAGGGGCTCAGTAGGCTTCCTTAAGAGACATCTTCACGGGAGAGTGCAGGGCGCCGTCGTAGCTTCCGAGGGCCTGAGCCGCCAGGTTCTGCCAACATAGCAGTTTGATATAAAACATACAAGTGGTATCCGGAGTGGACTCAATAGGTTACTTGCCTCGGCAGGAACGGTAGCGAAGGTGCTGCTCATGGGCAATCATGCTGGCCACTGACCTTGGAGGTGTCTAGGACCAACGTTTCTCTGTTTTTTTTTTTTTTTTTTTTTTTTTTTTTTGGGGGGGGGCAGTTTTTCCACCCCCCCCCCCCCCTCCCAGAGGAA